GACTGCGCGACTGTTTTTCAGGCACAAATGTGGTGTCGGTTAGTAAATTCGCGATATTTTTTTAAAACGCCGGACAACATATGTCATATTAAACTCCAATGGTACACAGCTGAAGTACATGGCTACCTAGCTTTAATATTGCCACTCGGCCGAAAACGGTCGAAATACTATTTTTCAGCTCCTGAAATTCAATTCTTAAGTACGTACTACTACTATATAGGATCCTATGGAGGATTTAATAGTGGTCTGTTCTCTGTCATGTGAAGTTGAGTGTAATCAGATTGGGTGTTGCTAGAACACGGGTGTCGAAGGAGGGTGCCGTTACGTGGCAGCACTAGTCACTTCGTACGCTTCAAATTCCAAATCTTCCACAGAAAGATTCCACAGTCATACTTCTGTACTAGACATGGCCTTATTTCCCTAATCCTAACCCTAACCCTGACCCTAATCCTAACATAAGTGCAGCCACATCACGTGACCCTCCTTCGACGCCCGTGTTCTAGCAAATCCCAATCTGATTATCTCGCATTGTGGACTTGGCCATAGATCTCCAACTTAATTGCTACTAGTACTATTATTACTAGGCATAGTAGGTCATTTTTTTCAAAATGACCCCAATGGATTTTTTAAGCTTATTCGATAGCCCCAGTCACAAGAAACAAAGATCCGTTTACAGAATAAAAAAAATTCCATTGCTGTGACAAGTTATGGGCATTTTTGTGACGTAATTTTGACCCATTTTTGGGAGTCCTTAACTATGGGAAGGTAGAGCAAAACGGGACATTTTTGGAGCATTCCCCATTTTTGTGACTTAATTAGTTGTATCTTCAACATTTCTCAACCAATTACTTTGATATTTCACATGATGTATGTTCACGGTAAAGGAAGAAGTAGCCGTAATTTGACCTCTCGGTGACCCCTACGTAATGACCTATGACGTCATTAAATTGTACTTTTATTGCATTACATTGACTTTATTACCCATATCCAAGGCTCCACACTAACTTTTTTTTTAATCATTGATTTTCAATTTTTGGTGGCCCGAAAATGAAATCTGGTGGCCCGAAAAAAAGTCATAATTATGAGATTTGAAGCTTAAGATACAATGGAATATCATGGAATAAACAGCAGACGATACGAGCGGGATGGGATGCGAGGTGGAGGCCTAGGGGTGAACATATTTTGTGTGTGAGGGAAGGATATTCTAATAGTCATGAAGGGCGATGAAGAATCATTATGGGGGGGGGGGATGAAGGGGAAT